CTATCCGTTCGATAGATTTGAAGAACTTGTCTTGTCTTTCTGGTGCATGCGGAACTTTCACGACATCCCGTCGCTGGCCAGCTTCTCTGATTTCATAACGGAAGTACTCGTCCGATAATGCCGAAACCATCGCTTCGATCAAAAACGGCCATCCTAGCAGATGATCAATGTCATCCAATGTTTCCAAGCAAGGGAATTGAACATTCACAAACCAATGAAAACTCGTTGACCAATTTTATCTCTCGCAATTTCCTCAGGGCTCATGTTCTCGAAACGGTTGGTCAGAGTGACCACGATGCTCTCATTTCTGAAACATCAAGTGTGAACGGCCGGAGCCGAATTGACCGGGAGATGTACCAAACACTTACGGGCTCTCCATATTGAATACAGTGACCCCATGAAAACCCAAGGTGGCGGTAGTCGGTATGGTGTGCATCGATGGGAAGCCAGGTAGCAATTTGATGCCCAAAAATGTTCCCGCCAGAACGCCCTTCCGGAACCCCTCCTCCCCAACAGTGGGAAGATGATAGATGCGCATCTGACACAAACACCTTGGCAAATCTGCAACGATGCCCTATCAGTCCGCGCGATTTGCTATGAGAGTGCTGCTGACCCGACTCACCTGGGAATTTTCCTGGTGACAAAGATTTGAGATGATGCGGCTGCTGTTCATCGAAAGTGAATATGAAGCTGTGCCCCCTTGAATTGCGGGCCTTTTCTTCCTTATCAAGTAGGTTTTCACGAGCTGGCCCAACAGATGTTAATTTTAATCATCATACTTATCCAAAAGCTGACCAGTTTTTTTACCCTTCAGAGCAGCGATCAACCGCTTCTCGTCAATGAACGGAATTTTTACAACTGCTTCCCAATCATTTTTCTTTCCATTCAAGTCGCACTCAAAATCTAGCGGGTAAAAATCAATAATGGGGGACTCTGGGGATGTCATCAAATCCTGAAAGCGTTTTCCGTCATATGGAATGCATAAGGTATCTAATCGCAGAATGCCGTAACGTACTCTGAAAGCGAGGGGTATGTGTTGGGCACTCGCCGCAGGCAATACTCCCATCAGTTGCTCAAATGGAAGGAACGGACGGCCAAGATCAAATTTCAGTTTAATGTTGCTGAAATTGACGAGATCTGCCGCCGGCGATGTGTCAAGCCCGTCCACCTACGCCATGGTAAAATTTGACGGTTCTTACCGGTAATTTTTGGCGCATAGTGGTACGGGTAAAACCACTCCCATGAAGCAACGCCGTTGTAGTAGTAATATAGAACCCACTGGAGGCCCTCAACGTAAGTAAACACGAGCTGGCCCATTTGCTGCTCGTTGTCAATGTCGATCTCGAGCTTCTCCTATTGTGACGTATTAATATCAATTTCCTCCACGAAATTGATGTTGACTGTGGAACCTTATAATATTCGCGTTTCCAATTTGCGAATTCTTCATCCAACTTCCTCTTCTCCTCAGCCTCCAAATTAGCGGCAACTTCTTCCTCGTCGATAATTGGGGCTCCGTCGTAACGGCGCAAAACACGTTGTCGAGCTTCATTACTCTCCTCATCTTCCTCGTCGTCATCTTCGTCCCATTCAATGATGATGTGATGTTGATGTTCACCTTTGCCCTCTCCCAAGGAGTCAATCGTATGACTCAATCCCAAATCGTTTGCGGCACGAATGATGAATTTTCGATCCCTGGCAGGCATGTTGGTGGAGAAAGAAAGGCGCGCACCTTCCGTTCGAGTAAGCACAAACGACTTTATTTGGTCATAAAGGGCAAATTGTTGCTTTGACATTACTGCCAAATCACGAGTGGATCAGAAATTGACTCCGCTACAGCCATGGGCTCAGTGTTTAACATGAACCCACCAAATTGATTTTTCTTGGCCGGCTCAGCACCACCATTGCCGTTCCTTTTGCCCTGCATCCACCGAATATCTCCACGTTCGACCTCGAATACTTCTTTTTCACTTTCCGCAATTGCCCGGAGAAGTATCTCGCAACGCGCAAGGTTGAGCTCTCCACCGTCGTTCAAATAACCCCCAGCTGACGGAAGCACCTTCTTATACACTTTGAACATGTAGGCCAAGGCGCCCTCGTTGATGTGCAGGTGGGGAAGGTTAGGCAAAAAGTCATTTCCAACGAAAAAGCTCATGAGAATGAAGTCGTCGATAATCCGTTCCAAGTCATATGGAAATGGAAGACGTTCTTTCAAAGGTGCAAATTCGGCGTCGAGGTATTCTCGGAATAACGACAAATGCATTAGGTAGAAACTCTGATTTTCGGGATTCGTTCCAGGAGACTTTTTTCGCCGTGGACCGAAAGTGACCTCTTCCCTCAGTAGTGCGAAATGTGGCTCGTGACTCAGCAGGCCCAACATCATAAGATCGGCATCCAACCCATACAAGCAATGGCGAATGTTCGGACAGTAATCGGGTTGCGATTTTGCGAGACGTAGATACTCCATGATTTTGTGTTCTCCCTCCCCAGGAACCTCGTGTCCAGACAGAATCACCTCAACTCCCCGCCATGAACCATCCTCGGACACTTTTTTGCTAATGAAATACTTAAGCTGTTCCTGCAACCTAGCCATAAACGGGGTCCCTAAGTGTATGGTTTCATTCAGCGCGTGAGTAACAGACTCGCCACGCCGAGGGAAGGATGACCAAAGGCGGACCTGGTGTAATGCAATTCGAATCAAACGGCGGTTCGTCTGGCAGTTTTTCACCTTTCTGAAGAGCCCTTTTTCGTGCATCAGCAGCATCTTTGGCTGTTCTGAATCGACGAGCTCGTTGCTGGTTCATCTTTGCACGCGGCGCCACCCCGTCGACCGCGAGGAAAAAGAGTTTTTGGGGTTTGATTTTGGCAAATAGGTGATCAATGTAGTTGAAAATGGCTAGAAAGATTTGATCCTCGGAAAGACGAAAATGCACATCGTCGTCATTGGGATGAGAGCAATTGTGAATGATGCCATTCATGTCCAAGTACAAATTGTCTTTGAAAATTGAGTGCATGTGAGGGGAACTGTTGCAGAAATCTGATGGATGGGGTTTGGAATACTCTACCAAACTCTGGAATCCTATTCTCTTCAATCAATTGACTGCAAAGCGGATAGCGCTCGCTGATCCATCGAAAAAACTTTGAAGATCAACGCACGTTAGCGGGGCGCCATTCGAGGAACAGCAGCACGGGGCCAACCTTCGGAATGCCCATGGCCGGAACCGGAGTACGAATGCAAACAAAAAAGATTCGAAGATCAAATTCGCAAGTCGAAGTACTACCGAGTGTGTCGCCTGTGGGTCGAAAGGGTGAATTCACCACAAGTCGCACAGTCACGGTTCACAGTGTGGGGCAACCAGGTATATCGCTCCCGTTTGAGTAATCGCGCCATTCAGCTCTGATAAATACCTTTCCGCTTTCGCGATCTCCTTTCGTTGTCAAGGCCACCGACAAGTAGACTGTTGGTTGTCTTGCCTAGATGTCGTTAAAAGCCGGAGGTTGTGCGACTGGTGCAGTGCGACCCAGTGCTGGACCCAGTGGCGACCCCTTCTCCTGATGACGCGAACGCTGGACGCGTCTTTGAGATTTCCCTCTGGCCCATAACTTAGTCCTATGTGCGCCAATTCCGATATCGAGGGCAAACAAGAAAGGGTACACATTATAATTACGCTCTACATGGACTATGGCCCTGGTCTTCCAACGTGGCCATGGGCGGGAACTCTAACAATTCAGTCCCAAATCACAGACGATGGGTTCCACTCCACTCCTCACTTCTCTTGACGGGGCCGCGGGTCCGAAGAGGTAGATATGAAGAGAAACCTCTTCATACAGGCGAAAATGGGCGGTCAAGACCGCACCAATAACGCTGACCAGCGTCGTCACCGTATACGAGGCGAGATATTGGCCGGTTAGAGAGGAAGAGAGTCTGAGCTGGTGCGCACCGGTTCAGGGGAGATCAGGTTCAGCAGAAGCCGGGACGAGGATGCTTTGGCGATGGTGTGCGCAGGCCACTTCCTTCCTGCCTCTTTATTCTTCTTTCAGATACCTGCCGCCACGAGCTCCTGATTCCACCTGATGAACTCAGATAAGGCTCGTCCCCATGCAGTAAAACTACATTTATCCGATCGTTTCCCTTGTTGGGTCTCGTGTTGCCTTTCCTTATAGTTCGGAAAAAATATTTGCGTCCATCCCATGGAACGTCATCTACCTCCGCCGAGACGACTCTGAGTAGGGATATTTTCTTGATTTTCAGTTCGTCGACGATTCGCTGACGGCCAAGCTTCTTAATGCGTCGTTCCTCTTGAAATGCAACCAACTCCTGCATTGCTCGCTCAGATCGCAACACGTCACCGTGCGTCGACATTGTTAGAGAATCAAGGCCTGCCAAAAGTCGGCATCTTCTGCAGCGCTAATCACATCGTCCAAAGGTCTTTATACAAGAGTCTCTGCTTCCCTGATGGTCTCTTCTGACGGGCTCAGCGTTTATGGAGTCACGAGACATGTGCTGTGTCTGGGGCGTCTCCCGTAAGTGTCCACTCCAGTTGGAGGGGTACTCTTGAGTACTCCTACGAGGCGAGACACGTGAATCATCCGACGGACGTGCCGACGTCGAGATGAAACTATAGGAAGACGATTGAGGGGAGCGCAAACCCAAAGACGATCCAGGTCTACTCCGATCCAGCGGCGTAATTCTGCCTTGCCAGTTCGTTGTTCGTTCGTAACGCAAGCATTCAAACTCCACCCGACGCGCATCAGCTCCTGGTCCATCTTCATGGACTGTAAATATTTATTGTCTCGGAGGTTCTCCGAAGCAGATCAATCGCACATATTGACCATGTAGTCATCAGAGCTGGTGATGCGCTCGTTTGTGCAACCTCTCATGACAACAAGCAGGTGTGCATCCCTTCTCAAGAAACTAGCCATTTCATTTGATGCGATGGCCGAATGTTGTAACTTTCTGCTTTGACCCTGCTAATACGACCAATCGCATGTTAGAACTATGATCTGATCTAGTTCAATGGATAGAATATCAGTCTCCAAAACCAGTAAAGTAGGTTCGATACCTGCCATCAAATAGAGCATTAATCTTACTCGTCCCATGTTGCTGACGATCCTCTTTCTTCGAGACAATGGCCGAAGGTTCTGCCTCTCGTCCTGTGTCCCACACATCCATCCTTCCGAAGATCTCGCATTATGTTCGCGAAGATCCACGTACCGGGGCATATTGTGTCAGAGAGCATTCGAGAATGAATCGAAGTTCGGGGACGCAGCGACGTGGATATAGCGCTTGATGGACTGGACAAGACCCCAAATGAAAGACGCACCACAGCTCAACTTCCATCGACTTACAATACCAGGCAGGAACCTAAAACCACCAGACCAAAATGGAGAAAACGCCACTTTGGAATATTTGGAAGTCAACATTTATACAGATGGACGGAAATCGCCGGAGGAAACCAAAACAGGCGACTCCAAACTTTGTATGTTCATATTCAACCTGGTGGAGGACGACGCGCTGAAATTTTGAATGCACGTGTGGAAAGTTTCCAAAGCAGCGGGGCACCCGAAAAACTATATATTTCTGTTTAAGAGGAAAGGTTGGGAGTACCCTTTAAAGAGAGTGATTCGTCGACTGGAGCGATGCTGAAATCGTGGAAGTGCGACAACAAAGAAACATTGCTCCCAAAGATGGAAGTCGCCATGTTTACGACAGGGGCAGATGTAATCTACAAGAAATGTCTCTGTATCTTTCTATCATCGCTCCCTATGCTATGGTTTTAATAAGTCTGATAGTATTCATGTTGCGAAGAAGTTTAACCACCTCCCTCCTTTGGCCATTGCGGAACCTGACGCGGGCAATTCCCAGCCATCGGGATGGAATGCGGGGCTACCCAAAAAGCTACGATCGCACCCTTGGAGCCAAAAACTAGTTCGTTTCTTTTGATGCGTTCTCATTGTTCAACTTTTGAATGTAACATAAGTTGTCATCTAACTGGCGGATGGATACCGGGACAGGGATACCCGTCTGCCCAGTCGCGGCCCGGCCGCGCGCGTTGGGAACTCTCCTTTCGGCACCTAGCCCAAATCTCACACACGCACATAAATAAATGGCTGCCCCGTCCAACTTCATATACCAACCACCGGCGTTTCCTTCTGCAGTGATAAACTCGTCAGCAATATCCGTCCTCTACGAATTCGCTCACAAAGCCGGCTATTCTCCTCCTGTTTGGGAATTCACACGGGAAAGCGTCTGGACTCACGTCAAACTGAAAATCGCTGGCAAACAGTTTCAGGCCTGTCAGTTCAAAAAGAAAACGGATGCGAAACGCGACGTCAGTGCTGCGGCTGTGAAGTACTTCACGGAGAACGGGACACACGAGTACTTTCGGAACCGCGCTCCTGACAGCCATGTTAGTTTGCTGCAAAAGTTATGTCAAGGTGGGAACACTTCAACGGGCATCAGCTCCCGTACCGAAGAAGGTGACTCATACTGCGCAATATTCTAGCCCTAAAAGAATACCTTCCGAAATACGAGTTAGTTGATTGGAATGAGCGGCCAACAACTTATGGATTAGGGCCCTTTGGAGCAAAATGTACCGCGTGTGGCCATGTATTTGAGGTTCGTTGGTCGTTCAAATCCATTTTGAAAACAATGTCATAGACTGATTATCACCGTTCTGTCACTAACCCTAACTGTCTGTTTCTAGGCGCAAGGGAAATACGTTCGGAAGCAGGATGCTAAGGAGGAGGCAGCTCGGATTGCCTATGAATACCTGTCGACCCCGGAAAACAAAAGATTGATGAAGGATAGTGTGAAGGTTACAGGTAGCTATTTGGGCGCACGGTTGTGAAAGCATGAGTGTTTCGCGGTCAGGAGGTGATATAAGAACCTTACGCCAGAAACACACATTGGACCGAGGCAAAAGCCGAGGAAGAAATATCGAGACTACCTGGCTGAGTTCCTCGTGGATAATAAATCCTTCGGCAAAGCCTACTATAGCACAAGATTGACGCGTACTGGAAAATTTTACGCACAAGTCGTTATCGGAGGGAGGCCGTATGCAGCGCCCGACGAGCACCCTACAAAACAAGAAGCGCTGGAAGCAGCAGCCAAAGTTGCCTATGACATGCTAGTTTTACCATACGGAAAAGCTCCATCGGACACTATCACCTCCCAGCCCACATCATCAATCGCCGCATCAGCCGACTTGTCGGGCGCATCAACTAGCGGTGTGTTCGGGGACGACCCAAGCCCTGGCGCCGGGAACAGGTTCATCTCTAATGGAAAACGTCGACGTCTCAATGACGACATCATTTCGGACGGCGGAGAGAGCCCGGATTCGTCAGGAGCAGTTACAGTTGAGCCCGTTCAGACGTACTACGACCTATTAAGAGAATTCATAAATAAGCGTGACGCGAATCCGCAGTCCCAACCCCGCTTCTCAATTGTCGCGTCAGAGACTTGCCAAGGTGTCAAGTGTGCAGTCGAAATTGATGGGAGGCGGTGGATCACTTGTCGATTCCACACAAAGATAGAAACTGCTAAGGAAGATGTGTGTGGGGATGCATACAAGGATCTGTACAGGGAGGAGAAGGAGAGAGAGGAGAGAGAGAAGCAGGAGCGCTTTGAAAGGATGATGGCCGGGGCCGGTTGATGTAATTTCAGAACATTGCGGCACCGCCAACGGAATGCGACCATGGCAAAGAGACCTTGTGGGTTGACATTGACCACCTCGCACATGGTTCATTCAATTTGGCTTCAAAGCTGCATATGGGAAAAAGTACCTTGCATTCATCACTCTATGGGTTCAAGCACTCTTAGACGGGATTAGCCAACGAAAATGATCCCCCCGACTATTGGCTCATTGGCACCGCGGCACAAAGTAAATATGACGTTTTCCAGAGGTTTGAGTGCTCGGTTTGTACATCTTTCGGTTCAGCCAGCATCATGCCGTTGACCGTAAATATGGCTGGTTCATCATAAAACTACGGGATGCGGTAATTCGTAAATCGGTTTGTGACAGGGTAATACCGTGAAACGCACTGCCAATGTTTTAAACTCCCCTTCCTTCCGCAAATTTTTTGGCTATGGACAGCTAACTAAACAGCTGTAGACAACCAAAACAAAAAAGTAAACCGCTTCCCTTGAATCTTATATTCAAAAAACCAGACTAGCACGATTTGACCTCTATAACTTAATGGGGGTATCCAAATTCACAATTAAATCCCGTCCCCTCCGCGTTCTGCCTTAACGCTTCAGTCCTTGCTCAACATCCGATACCGCGCTGGGCCACACTTGCGATCTCTCTCCCCCGTTGTACAGCAATGATGGGTGGCGCCCACTCGTTCCACCACTCGGCATCACAGGGGCGCGGGATGGAATCTTGATAGCCAATCTGGCGGATTTGGGCACCATGGCGGCCGGGGATGGCAAGGATGATGGGGTTGCAGCGGCGGACCCGCTCATCAATGTGCGAACGGTGTAAACAAACACCAGCGCCGCCGAGAATACCAAAGGTGTGAACGCGTACGCGAGGCGGAAGAAAAACGTCCGCATCCCGTGGTCGTCGGCAAACAAGACGTTCCCGCCAATCAGCAATCCGAGACACAACCATGTGACGGAGCAGAGAGCGCACAAGGCAGCCACGACGCGGGCCCATACTTTGCGGTTCGTGGAGGTCGCGTTGACGTTGCGACGGGTTTTGTAAAGTTGGCGGATGAAGATAAAGGAGAGAACGTTGTCTACCGTCAGGCCGTAGAGGGACCAGATGGCCGACGCGATGGACTGGAGGATCGGGGATATGGGGAGGATGACCCCAAAGAGCAAGGTGGTGAGACTGAAGACGGTAACGGTGACGCCCACAAAGATCCAGTCCTGTAAGGCCCAAAAACTCAAAATTAGTCTTGTGTTTGTTTGGCGTAAGGCGACTTTCTGAGTCGTTCAAATAGATACGTACCCAATGATTCTTGTACGGCATAATACTCTTCACAACCCGGAACCTTATCTGCACCAACAGAATGTACACCAGTGTCGACACACCGTACAGCGCCGTGTACGTCCTCACCAACGCATCCAATCTCACAAATTGGTAATGGATTGGACTGGCGGGACTGTCTTGCTGGGAACCCAAGTCAATGGTTAGGGTTGTTGTCACTGCAAGAAGAGATGCTTGTTAGACGCTGGTTGCATAGAATGGGAGGACACGGCAGCATACGTACTCAGCAATGGGACAAACGACAAAGCGTAGATGATGAGAGCGGAGACGAGGACCAAGTTGAAGGTTGTGGGTCTGCGGACGGCGTGTTGGGTTGCGTAGGCGATGTTGCCAATTTGAAGGACCAACCCCAAAACTAATTGGATCCCGTTTGGCTTTAGTTCGGATGCTCATTTCGATAATCCAAAAGTCGACAAGCTTACTCACCAGTGAACCCCCAATTCAACTTTGTCAGGGTGTCGTCATCGGTAAAGCGGGAAACAGGCATGGCTGGAGCTTGAGAGTACGTCGGTTTGTTGGTAGTAAGTTGTCAGACTTCAAGAGACGTCCAACTTGATGGATTTTTCGCGAGGAGGGATGAAAGACCCATTGGTCAAACTTATATGTTTTCGAGACAACGGGGTACTTGATCATAGTACAAGAAACTGCTTTTTTGCCAAGGGGGTCTCTTTGAGGACAGAGCTGGCCTTGTTTTAACAAGGATACCCGGCGTTGCGAAGGGGAAACAACGACCATCCCACTTCCTTTGTTCCTCGTTTGTTCCTCGTTTCGCGTTTCGCGTTTGCATGCGCCACGTGGAATGATCCAAATTTACGATGTGGTGCAGGGGTATCCATCCTTCAGATGTGGGAAAACTGCGCATGTTCATCATGGTAGACTACCTACAACTACAGTACACATTGCCTACAAAATCCTGACCGTCAGTTCCCCTCGAAATTAAAGACGCGATTTAATAAGTTCGCCCTAAGAACAAGGGTTTAAATTTTGTGCGGTGAACATCAAAAAAAAACCAAAACGTGAGCAAAGGCTAAAACAATGGGTAGTTTGCCCCTTTACCTTGTTGTCGTCCTTGTTGTAAG